TCAACTGCCAGACGCAGTCAATGAACTGAATGAAAACAGGTGAGCGGTCTGCATCCGTGTGGTTCTTATCACCGTGTCCGATACGCTTTAAGAAACAACCAAAGAAGAGGGGACGGTCAGTGATGTAACTGGACAGGGCCACCACACCTTACGTGGTTCCTAAAAACATTAAAAGTGTATGAAAGTTTGTTTACCAACTGGAAGCGGTGACCGAAGCTCAGCCACTCTTTCTCAAGCAGCACCTCAAAGCCGCGGATGGTGCGGTAGTAACCGTCCAGCATGAGCATGGCCAAAGAGGTGAGCTGGCCTGTTCGGTCCCAACCATCGCTGCAGTGCACCACCACCGACGTTTTCCCAGACTCCACTTTGTCTGCGATCCGCAGTGCTGCTGCCAGGATCAGCTACACACACACACACACACACACACACACACACACACACACACACACGGTCTTTTACCTCATTCGTCATTCATCGTTTGCAATCACAGGGATGCAACATCACGCTCACCTTGATGTGCTCAAGCCAATGAGTGGACTCAAGATTAGAGAGCCAGTGGGAGTCCTCAATGTTGGGGTAGACCACGTCCTTCAGCTTGCGGAGCGACTCTCTCATCACGTGGATATTGTGAATATCCAAGAACACTAGCTCAGCATTTTGATACGCGTCCTCACTTTCATAACCGCCCCCTTTCATCTGAGGAAAAAAAAAGAGTGGAGATGTGGTGAGTGAAGGTGAAGGTGAGTAGTAAGATAAATAAATACTATATTAAGTTTTCCTTTTTAAAAAATCTGCTGAACCTTGTTGGCAGCGGCATTGACACTGGGTCTGGCATCAAAAATGAAGAGTTTATGGGACTGAGCATTAGCATCCATGATCGCCTGGAGGTATTTCTCATCCTCTTTGCTGCGCTTCCCATTTACCCCAACCATGGGCTGACTGCAGCGCGTCACTGTCGCCTGGCTCTCTGGATGGATCCATGACAACACCTACACATAGAGAATAACAGAATATTACCACAGACAATCCAATAATACAGCTGCACAGGAGAGGAACACTGGATTCAGACTCACAGGTATCCTTCCCTTTGCTCGGAAGGCAGCCACTCTCTTCAGCTCTTCCTCCGGTATGTTGACAGGCACCACCAGAGTTGACGGGTAGGTGTCACAAACCTCATAGTGATCGTTTACTTTTGTTATCCTCCAGCTTTCGTTGGGTATACCCTTCCAAAAACACACAAGCAACCAATGTAATAAGCTTCCTTTAAAGATCCCCTCCATATTAAGACATATATACAAATAGTCTGCTTGGAACAATAATGTGTGTCTTAAATGTTTTTCCCTGCAAAAAAATATTAAAATCTTTGAAAAGGCATCTACTCCTTCTATGTCATTAAAAATTCCAGAATCTCTGAATATGCAAATTTAGGGATTGACTTCCAAACCTACTACTAGGGGTAATGAAACTTTCCAGTTTCAGCAGAAGAATGTGAAAACATCTTTCTAGTGTCAAACTCTGCACAGTGAGGCTCAAACATTCAGCTGTAGGTAAAAAAAAAAAAAAACATATTTTTGACTGGAGGCAGTCGGACGGTGTCATTTTCAAATACCTGTCTTTTGTATTCCGAGACAGCGTCGTACACCTTCCACCCGTTCTCAGGAAACACTTGCCCGTATTCAAAGGCAAAGATTTGCTGTACAGAGTGGGAGAGACATTCATCAGTCAGTGGTCAGTGCAGACCTTCAGTGTCCCAGACAGTGTGGCCGAGAATCACTCACCAGTCCGTTGGAAACAGGAAACGCAAATTTCATCAGCACTTCGAAAATGGACTTCCTGAGTGTGTCCTCCATTTGCTTGTGTGCAAATCGTAGATTACGCATATCCTGCACAGAGGCAGAGCCGCAGGTCACGGTCAAATTCAGGGGTCAACAGTGGTACATAAATACAATTTCATAGCAGTAAAAACACTACATGTAGTAACAGTATGCTATTGTGGATATGGAGCTTGTTCATAGGCTGCCAAATAAAGTAAGTGAAGTTATAAGAGACCATTTCCACATCTTACTCACTTTGCAAACCAGCCCATAGGACACGTCACCACGGGTTGATGCACTTCCAATCTTTTCCACACGACTCACCACCCCGAGGGGCAGGTCCAGCACAAATGCTGGCTCCTACAAACCAAACAACACATTAACAAAAACAAAATGATTCCTTGAAATATTTACATTACTTTACTAAGCTTACCCTGTCCATGCATTTGAAGAAAAGCCTGTAGTTTGTAACGGTCACGGTTCCCCTCATTGCTCCGATGAAAGGACAGAAGTAGGTGACATCTTGGGCTATGGATTAAAACAAGAAAAGATTTAGCCATGTGCGACAAATGTATTACAAACAATATTGTTTTAATGTGAAAAATATAGGCTACTCTTTGTGCATTGTAATGCAGGCAAGCTGTTATGATTAGATTTATGAGAGAGAACCTACCCATGTCTTGGACCGTTTCATTTGGAAGTAACTGTGGTTCCTCTTTGTCTGAATCTCTCAGCACCTGCTGGAAACAATAGATACAAATTATACTTGAATGTGGAGCAGCCTGAACCCATAAAATTTAAAAAGGTAATCATAATAAAGCATTATTCCAAGACATGCTGGGTGAGTAGTATGTAATTCATAAGATAGCATACCTTGGCAAGAGTTCTGGGCTTAACCTAAAGGGGGGCAGAAAAGAGGAGGATCATGCTTCGGTCATTATTATTAGTACTTAATGAAGTTAACTGAGTGAACTAGGTGCAGGATACTGACCCTGAGCTCTGGGGAGAGCTCTGTAGAGGTGGACACAGAGTCGGAGGACATGGCAGAGGGCGGCTTGGCCTGGGCAGAGCGGTCAGAGCGAGAGGTGGAAGTACTGGGGAGAGATAAACCATGAGAGGAAATACTCTGAGTAGGGTGAAACAGCAGCTATTTGTCATCTGATTGTCTGACTTAGTAAGTATGCAGACTAGTGCTTTATTGATTATCTATTAGTCAACTGGCAATCAATTATCAGCAATTTTGATAATCAATTAAAAGTCATTCACAAAGCAACAAAACCAAGATTTATCTGGCTCCAGCTCGTCTTATATTAAGATCTGCAGCTTTTATCTGTTTAATAACAGGAGTAAGGAGTATTTCTTACAGTTCTCTGATGTATTGTAGCCCAAACGATTGAATTGATGGATCAAAAACAACACCACAGTGGATAATGTAGCTATTGGTCGGACTGACTATGCGAATATATGACATTGCTCTGATTTCTTCTGAGGGACATTTGCTTAATCTCTTACATCTCACAATGTAAATGAACAACAAAAACATCAGCCGATAATGAACAGCCATTAAATGCTAATTTACTGTCAAACATATGTGGTCGTATTATAGCAGATTACATTATTACTGGTTCAACAATCACTTCTGAAGGGTTACAATAACTGCATTAGGGTTAGACGTGTCAGCTTAACTCAGTAAACATATAGCCCTGTGTTAGTTTGAAAACTTTTAGCTGGCTCACAGAAAAGCGATGTGTTGTGGTGGGTTTTAGCTACCTGGACAATGAATCAACACTTGGCTGTCGAGAAGAGGAGCGCTTCGAGCCCAGACTGTCGATGCTGCCGCTCTTCTCCATGTTCTCCTGCTCAAAGTGAGGAGGGACAGTCGGCTGTGAGCGACGGAGGGTCCGTGTATCCACTGAACAATGTGTTTAAATCCCCCCTCGGAGTCCACTAAATCCCCACACACAAAAGGAAGCTGCCATCTTTTCCCAGCAGCCTCCCAATCCCTGTCACACGGAGAGCGATTGTCGGACATGGCGCCCCCTGCCGGCTGCCTCAAATATCAAAGCTTGTCGCATGCTGCCTTCACTGCCCTTCGTACGTTTCTGTGAGTTACCCTTTACTGTGAAACAAACTGCCTTTTAATTATACAGTGTATCGTTGATACACACATTGCTTTGGTGGGTAGTAATTCAAAAGTAAAAAACACGCTTTATATGCATTCATGCGTCAAATTATTTTTAGGAAAACATCAAACATACACATACATTACTTTGTGTATCTAAATTCCGTGTCCCATAAATGCCACATCTAACGTCATTGTTGTTCTACTCGTTTACCTGCTGCAGGACTCAATAAAGTTTAATATTGTGCTTCACTCTGTGCTTATTTTATTCACATTCAAATATGTAAGGTTGAATGTGAGCATGTATTCATTTTAAGAATATAGAATATCTTCATCAACTGGATTGTTTTAAATCATATTCATGTTGAATGTTGAATAATCGTGTGGGGAAATGCACCAAATTCCCTCAGACAATGTCAGAAAATGATGATGAATATTATTGAATCAAATAACTCATGTGTTATAATCAGGAAAAATAATATTCATGCACTTTCAAATTACAAAACAAACAAGTATAAAGCACATGATCATTGATAAAAACAAAGCACGAAACAAAGGGTTTTGGTAAGATTGTGATCATAGATTGCAGTGAATCTCTTTTTTTTTACCAGGTGGAAGGTCACAGGCTTTACCAGTGTTTAAAGGTGGGAGGTCACTAAGAAGTCCATAAATGTTTACCATACTAATAAAAAAGAAAGATATGTAAAACAATTTTTCCAGTGTCATGTAAATGAACTTCAGGTGAGAGTATATACACACAAATGTGTCAGAAGATACAAGGACTGTTTTTAGAATTTGTGACAGTCCACTTAATATTTTGAACATGATGTTTCCTTCTAGACAAAAGTCCTTAGATGACATTAAAGGGAACAATTCTGAAGAAAGTACTGATTAATTTTCAATCTCATGAATAAATTCAGTACCCAGACGAGATAAAATGGTTCTTGGAAAATAAATCTCCACAATGACAGCCATCTTTGTCAGAGACATTGCTGTGGGGAATTTAAAACACAAGTCTTTGTTTATTGAAGTTAATGATAAAACCTGCCAACAGAAATACTCGATTTCATTCAACTTTTCACAAGCTTTATTCAAAGGATGCAACTGACTAAATCATTTATATACATTTTACGTGTTGACTGTACAAATACCATTGCATTTGAATACAGGACATATTTGAATGCCAACTATCATTCATGAGACAGAGGGCAACAAGAAGGCGGAGACCAGAGAAATGAAGAAAAAAAAACAAAAAAAAACAATAAAATTAAGACACACAAAGTCCTTTACTTTACATATTTCTCCATAAATTTCTTGTGGAACTCAGAGCGCAGTGTGTCATTTACAAAGCGTTTCTCCTTCCGTGCCTCGTCCACTCCTTTGGCGCAGTTCTTGAACACAACATCATCATCCCACCTAGAAAGATAGAAACAAGTGTTGATGATTAGTGGAAAGTGAAGAGAACTTCAAACACTCATGTTGTGCATAAAGGTGTGTGCTTGTGATACCTTCTCTTGACCCTGAATGTATTCGGAGTCGGGTTCATCTGTTGTTGCTGTTGTTGTCCTGCCAAATTAATCAACGGATTGCCACTCAAGATATTTTCCATGCGAATTCTCTCCTCCTCCGCTTTTTGCTCCCGCTCCTAAGAAAGGAAAAAGAAGCAAAGTCACTAAACACAAACATAACCTAAGTTTTAAACTGCTGACTGTGCTGTCAGCCCATTATGTGTCAGACAGCAGGTACAATCACGTCCGTCTGAAATGATACTTTACTTTGCGTTCTTGCTCTTCAGCCCGCTCCTTCTTGATCTTCTCCAGTTCTGCCAGAAGAGCTGCAGTGTCATCGTCATCACTGTCTTCCTCAGAGTCCTCATCCTCATCATCCTGTAAACAACCATGCATCACTGGTGAGGGAGCTTAATGAGAGCTAATCACCACAAAGTGTCCACTAAGTCTTGCAGCGCAAGCACTTACATCAGTGAGAGGGTCGTCAGCATCAAGGTTGGCTGCTGGGATCTGATCCAGTCTGGGCCTCTTTGAAGATGATGATGAAGATGAAGATGATGTGGTGTGCTCTGGAAAATTAGAGTCGATAAAGAATTTTAAGTAGTTTTCATGGGTAAAGGTTAAGATAGTATATATTTGAGTCCCTAAGCCCAACAGGCATTTTAAATAAACATCAAGTCTAATATCTGCAGAAAAACCAACCTCTTGGTCCCCTTTCTCTGGTCTTGTCCCGTACAGCTACACGCTCCCTCTCCTCCAGCTCCCTGCGGAAGTCACGGGCACGCACCTCCTCTGGGGCATCCTGGGTAGGTTGCCTGAGAACATTTGAAGAGGAAAAAAATATATATTATATTATATATATATATATATAGTTTGCTTCCAGGATATAAGCACTCTCAGAATGAGCAGATAGTGGATGCATTCGGAACAGTTCAGAAAATATCAAACTGCAGCACCCAGCGAGCAGTGAACTCAGCCCTGTACTGGATTCATGCACGATTTGCTGACCTGTACTTGATCTTTGTGTGACCCGGAAGATCTCGACTGGAGTACTGCTTGGACAGGGCACTCAAATCCCCTTCTCCTTTACCCCTCCCTCCTCTTGCCGGCTCAAATGTTGGTCTTGCAGCTGTAGTCATCTTCGATGGCTCTGCTGTGGCAACACATGAAAGGAGAATAAACATTAACTGAAAACATAATGTAATGTTCAGAGCGGTACACCCCAAAACCTGTGAGCTGAAGATGGGAAAGCAAAATACAGGCAGCTTCAGACACAAATATCGAGTCAACACCTGATGAAGCAGCAACCCCCCTTCCCCCTTTTCAATCTAACAGTATCTTTTAAAGTACATGTTTTAACACAAGAGTGGCTCTGAGGGCCACTACCTAAAGATCTACCCTGCACAACTTGTCTCCAGGGGAAGGAGAAGATCATTTACAGATGATATGGTTGTAAAGTAATGTAGTAGCATCAACATTTATAATTATTTCACTACAGTTGAGACACTGGGACGGTAAATCATGCTATTGAAATCACCGATTTCCGAAATGAGGGGTGAAATAAAATCTATCTGTTCATTCGTCAAACAAGAATTGATAATGTAGAAAAACATTCAGCAACAAGCAATACTCATTATCAATACTCGTTTGGCTCATCAACTTAAAAAGGGTAGCACTATCATATCTTTGTAAGACATATACCGTATCCTATTACTAGACAAATAAACGGTTTTCTGATTATTTATAAAGTATAACACACAAGTTAGCCAGTTAGCCACTACAGCTAATAAGTTGCTAGCAGGCTAACGTGGTCTAACAACGCTCTCGAGCAGAAAACAATGCTGTTTCATTGTTTGTGTGCCGAACGAATTTTTACCCCCCAAAGTTATATTTATTGAAATTAACCTAAAATTCAAGTTATGGGTTTTCTTATAAATGAATATTGAAGCAATAACACTTACGAGGCTGCTACCACACGACGAAGAAGACGCGATCAAACGTGTGTCGTCACTTCCGGTAGAAACCTGCGCGTTGAGATGATGCATTCAAGAACATTTGGAAATGAGACAACACTTATAAATCTACACACTGAATGAATAGGCTATACTTTATTTACATTTGTCTAATTATATTTATTCAATTGGCAATTTTGTTCCCGGTCGTTCTTGTGACCAGGATATAGACGTCTTATAGGTATAGGTATCTTTGCTAGTGAGAACAACTGAAGTGGCTTCATAATAATGTGCAGTGTTGTAGTGAGGGAGGTAGAGGGCAGGCAGTATCAGACGATGCATCAGAACTCAACCGGCCTTTAATGTTACTGCTTAATGCCCCTGCTTACAGTTCAAGGAGGTATTTTCAGTCCCTATGTGTGTGGATGGTTCCCATTAATCACACCATGTGAGTGTAAAGATGGTCTTTTGCCATTGTTAATTTAGTCAAATATACAGTAGGTTACTTTGGTTGTCCAGTTCATCATTTCAGAATGACTTCTAATACATGATCTTGCATGCTATCCAATGCAGATGCAGTATACATAAATACACACAGCCAAACCAAAAATATCCCCAATGACAAATTTATCTTTCAGCCAGGTGAAACAAAGAACACACACCTATAGGAACACAAGATACATAAATCATAAGATACATTAACAAACATAAAAGAAAAGTTGATGAAAAAACAAAGCACACACTGTGCAATATTTAATGTTTATATTTTATAAATAATATATAATATAATATACAATTATTTTTGTTGAAAGACTTAAAGAAAGTTTTTTATTTCCTCTTTCCCCTCTTTAATACATATGGCGTTCATTTTAATGATACAAAATGCATTTGTTCCAAATGTGTCCTCTTGCTCTCTACAAGAATTTTCATTGAACAATACACCTATCCATTAACACCATGCCAGTTCTGTACATACTGTATGTGTTATGTCACTTTGACGACTTCCTTCGTGTGCTGTAGGAATACAAAGAATTTTTACTGAAGATGTTGGCTGAAATTCAAAGAGGCAGACCAACAGAGGAGGTTCTGCTGGATTCCGCACAGCATTCACATTTTATTTGTCTAAAAGTGTTATTTTACTTTGTCAAGTGCAAATGGTCCCAAAGAAGACAAACGCCCAGAAAAGTGAAGACACAGTGCAGAACCTCTGCTAACAGTGTGACTGTGATTTCCTGCAAGCTATACTGTGACCTCTTTGTTTAATGTGATCTTATTCATAATGTATACACCTGTGTGTGTGTGTGTGTGTGTGTGTGTGTGTGTGTGTGTGTGTGTGTGTGTGTGAGAGAGAGAGAGAGAGAGAGAGAGAGAGAGAGAGAGAGAGGATATGTGCTATTGCCTTTTTCTGGGTATGTTTAAAGGGTCAGTCCACCAAAATGTTAAAAAAAAAAATATATATATATATTTTCTCTCTCACCTGTAGCTGTGCATCCCATGCAGATAGTTTTGGCGTCTATTTCCTGACACAAAAGACGTGAATGGGCTGTGGTGCTTACAGCATTGAAAATCGCATAAAAAATTAAGGGTATGTTTCCCACATACACTCTGACAAGACCAACATCAAAGACAGAAAACAGAAAAGTTTCAATGGAGGAGATAAGCACTTCGCTTGGATGCATTTTGATGGAAAGAATAAACGTTCTGATCAAGCAGAAGATAAAATTCCAGGTAGTTTAAGAACAGGTCTCTCTTGATTCCTATTATGCCCACAACTGGAACAGTATGTTTTTATGTAAAGCTCAGCATGAAACAACACTAAAACATTTTTTATGAAATACTTTCAGCCTGTGAGCTGCAGGGTTTCATTTCTGGCCACATTTGTAGTGTGGTAAGTACTATGTTTAAGGCCAAAGTCAGTGGAAAAACAGCACTAAGTACTAAATTGTAGGGTTGGTTTAAATGGTGTAAGATTGTCACAAACCTTAGAAAAGCTAGAAGAACAATGCATGCAAGGGATTTTTTTTTCATTTGGTTCTCAGGAAGAAGTGATAGTGAAAATCAGGTTGAAAAACAGCTCTGGAATGTAACATTTCACACATGAAACTACCAACTAAAACAATGGCACCTGTCTGCCTACTCTATGATTGTCATGGAAAGCAAGCAACCCACCCACTCGATCAACCTGCATAGAAGCATCCAGGTGTGACACTTCAGACTAACAGGGGGTGGAATCTGAAATGACAGGGGGGTGGGGGCTCAGGTTGAAGTGCCTCTACCTGCGCTCGTGTGAGGCACAGACACAGAGGAGGCTCGACACCACTCTACTTCGACGGGGCTGATCAGAACAGGTGAGAACTCAATATGAGGGAGGAATGGACTTCATACTAGCTCACACTCATTGACTATGCAGGGTCATTACAAAGTCAGAACCGCTTTCATTTTCCATGCATAATGAATTTGACCTGGTTAATTGGTGCTGGCACATCTCCAGTGAGACTCATCATGCAAGATTAAAACACTGAGTGCAGGTCAAAATGTTAACAGGAGCTCAAAGAGAAATACAGACAAGATACAGAGAGTGACAGGAAACTGTAAACACGGGGCAGGTCACAGTTCTGAGCAAATGAGTGGATAGTGCTTATAGAGTCTATGTGGGAAAACATTATTGCATGATTTTGTCAGGTTGACATTTTAGATGGGTTTTATTTTAATATAAAATGTGGTGAGCATTGTCAAAATCATAAAAAATGTCACCTAAATATGTAATCAGATGGTTTATCTATGCTCCTACAGAACATAGTATAGGACCAGCACTTTTTCACTTTGACTTGTTTCCGTGCAGAATGCAGTATTACAGGTTGCGTCTGAGATACTGGGTCTCACAGGTGACAAGGTGACTAGTAGGAGAGAAAAAAAGAAGACAGGAAGCAGATAATACAGCGTATCACAGTTATACACAACAACCACAGTTATTGAAGTAGTTTATAAAACCAACCTGGAATAAATTTGTACTTTTCCATAAATAATCTCATCAGGTTGGAAATCTGAGAAAATATCGGCATCATGTCAAAAGGTAAGTCACACTTGAATCTAATATTTCTTCCTTTTATCAGATTAAATACTCTAGTAAGTATTGCAAGTATTCTCTGTAAGCAGTACTGACAGAAAGTGTGTGTGTGTGTGTGTGTGTGTGTGTGTGTGTGTGTGTGTGTGTGTGTGTGTGTGTGTGTGTGTGTTGTTGAGATGTTGACAGAAAGCAGGTGTTTCAAACCACCAGGGTGCGGACTTCACTGAAGAATGATGTCAGTTGGATCCAAAAATCAAATCAGGAAGATAAAGAAGAAGACAAAGCAAGGTATCCTCAGTGATTGAGATGCAACATCAAAAATGAAGTGTTCATTTAAAGCAATAATTCAATTAATCACACAAAATTGTTAGAAATGTCATTCAGATGCTATCTTTCTTTCCTGCATTTTACTGATGTGCCAGCAAAGCATTGTTACTCTATTTCCTCTTTAGTTTTTCTTTTTCATTTGTTGTCCTACATCACAAGCACTGATGTATTGAGAGAAACAGTGCAACAAACATGCTGCAGATTTACAAACAACTCATTCTGTCTTGCAGGAAGGACGATGCTGTGGAGACCAGACCTGTAGTTGTCAGACAGAGTTCATACGTCCTGTCCACAGCCAAGAAATTTGAGTAAGTGCTAAGTATAAATATTCAAAGATGTAAACATTAATGTCTATCCTAAACTGTTTTAAAGGAACAAAAAGGCCTCAATTCACCACCCCAAACCAGGCCTACGCCACTACTGTATTTAACAGAGCTGTAAACTCTGTTTTTATAAGACAAGCTTTGACGACAGGAGTAAACCCATGTGTTCTGACTATTGTTTAATTATGGTCTCAGAATTAATCCAACCATACAAATGCAGAACCAAACGCTGATCACAAGATATAGCCATTCTGCCCACAGTTGCTTCTTGATGAAGTAACATTTGGCAAACGTTGTGTCTGAAGCAGATGCTTATTGCATTTGTCATTTCTTTTAAAGATTTAATTACCAATGTTGCTGATTTTTGGGTTGAAAAATGCAGTAAAGAAGAACAAAGTTCAACCATGTGATATATAAATATTAGACCTTAGTCTGCAACATCTCCAGTGTTTATACAATATGTTGCTGAGACCCACTTTAATACGAGGAATAATGTGGTTCCCAAACTGAAATCCTCCCCTGACTCTGTTGTGAATAAAAACTAAAAAAATGGCTTCAGGCATTAATCACCATCTGTGGTATTAAAATACATAAACATGAACTTAGCCCTGGGCAGCTTCGCTGGATCCATAAAGACCTACAGTACACTGCAGCCTGACCTGTGCTTTAGTTGGCTGATGAAGCATTAATCTGAATACAATTGTTACTAAAGTATATCCCCTCCGGGCACACAGGAACATACAGCTGCTTTCACACCTGCACATTTGCCCCTCAATATCAACAGTCCATTCATCTTTCTGATCTGAATCCCAATTTGAGCTGTACAAATTGAGGCAAAATGATTGTGTGTTTGATACTAATCTCATTGATTTGGTGAGCACAAGAAGTCCCGATCATTTTCTTTAAAATGGCAATTAATAATCATGAATCCATATTCAGAGTTCCTTTGTTTAAATAGACTGTAAAGATGTTGACATTCTTCGACTGTTTAAACAGTAATAATAATTATTAATACATTGTTGCCTGCCTGTGTATTGCTGGCAGCTGTACCCATTGCATTGATATTACATCACCTGACTTAAGACGTACAACACATACACACATACACACACGCCTTTAGTAAATTATTACATTGTGCTGCAAAGATATTTCAAATATACCTTTATTCTTTATTTTACTTCCCCCCTGAGATCATCCTCATAGTAAACATATTGCATATTTGAAAAACACATTTCTGTATAAAGTATTTCCTCCCCAAATTAAAAAAGTGATAAACTCTTCTCAGTTCTTCAGTATTTTATACAATATATTCCTTTTATAACTACTTAATGAACCAAGTACATTCAGAATACTCAAACAAAGGAACAACAGATTCACAGAATATTGTAAGCAGTTTCAAAGACATGTTATCTTTTCTTCTTCTGTCAGTAGATTTGTATAATTTATATAAAAAAACATTGTTATCCCTGTGTTCTCTCAGTGGGTTTGACAGCAGGCTTGAACGGATACTGGACCATAATAAATCTTGACAGACGGCAACATTTGACTACATTTTCACAATGTACTAGTTCCTGTAACTATGGAGAATAACGTGGACGTTTTAAATCTGTCCTTTTATCTTCGTAGGCATGTTAAGAACAACGAGGTGAATCTGTTAACAGCTGAATGAATACACGTTAAATGAGTAAACAACTTGTTTGATCAGTCCAGAGCAGAGTTACAAAAACTAGCTCACATTACACACATAGTAGATTAGAAGATAAATCAAGCACAACTATTCACACTGCTTGATATAAGTTAGCTTATGTAGCTGGCTGGCCATCAATTACATGACACACAAGAACAAAATGACAGAGCTTAAATTAATTTGTTATACAACAGTAGGTTGGCAACCTTTTTGCATTGTGTTCCCTAAAATGAACCCATGTTTCTGCCTCAGCTTGTATGATTTTTACAGGCCTGAAGAGTTTAAAGTTATCCCGTATTTCACAAGAAAAAGGCAATAAATAGAGAAATCTTAGACAATATAGAAATACATTTTTTTTCCCTTTCTTATTCGTTTGATAATCTTCTTTAGGCCTCCGCGGGGTTGGAAGCTGCTGTTGTGCAGGATTCAAACATTTTCCCTTAACTATCACATCTGAGCACAACGGTAATTAATATCAACACATTCCTTCTCTTCTGACAAACAGAGCACTCTGCAGGGAGGCTGAGGGAGGGAGTGTAAAACCATTCAGTATTTCAAATGGCAGATACAGTCTGTCTTCATTCAGGTGTTGTTAAATTATGCAGTCAAACTCTTTCCTTTAAAGGTACTGACAGCTGATTGATAGTCTTGGGTAGTAATGAGTTAGGAGGAGGGTCCAGCAGCTGTGAGGTCTCCTACAGTGTGCACCCCCTGTGCTGATGTGGACAGCGAGGGTCCAGCTGCCGGGCCAATGCCGAGCGATGGCATTAAATGATCCTCGTTGATGGTGAAGTGGTTTAACGGGTAGATGCCACATTTCCTAAAGCCCTCCTTCACAGTCCTGGCACCCTCCTCCTCCTCCTCCTCCTCGTTCACTATCTGATACGCCCCTTTAAACACACCTGAGAACTCTTTCTTGCTGACTGCAAAGTGATTATCAGCGGCGCCACCATCACCGATGAGTGCAGCGAAACGCTGCTTCAGGAGGACAAAGAGACCCGCGTCGAGCGGCTGCAGGATGTGAGAGCAATGAGGCGGAAGGCACAGGAGGATGACGTCCTCCCTACGAGCTGCTTCCACCACCTCAAGGTTCACGGGGGACTTGTGGCCGTCGAACATCAGCAGCAGCGGGCGCTTCTTCGGTGCGTGCAGGAGGAAGTGTTTGAGGAACCATTTCTTGAAAAGGTCAGAGTTGACGCACCCCGAGTCTGACCATCCATAGAGGGCATTCAGAGGCCCTTGTGTCTTGTAACAGACTCCCCCTGGATAGGCCTTTGAGTAGATAATAAATGGGGGAACGTCCTCTCCAGCTGCGCTAAAGCAAGCCAGGACAGAGATGTGGTCCCTCAGGCCTGGTGCTGGCTTGTAGCCCAGACTGGCAGATTTGGGGAGAATCACCCTCTTCCTGCCCAGCTGAAAGCCCATCTCATTGCAGTTGAAGATTTGGTGAGGCTTGTCTCTGAGCCCATGAGCGTCCATGACAGTGCTCAGTAAATGAAAAAACTGATCCACTGCTTCCTTCCTCACACATACTGTCCTCCCACGGACAACATTGTCTGCTGGCTGAATGGTAATATTCTTTTCTTGCCGTTTTCTAAAATTGAGCCACCAGGTCTGGCCTAGTTTAGAAAATGCCACCCTCCGATGCTGCCGCTTATAAATGGATGAGGCAAAGGACACCAGCTGTTGCTTGGTCAGTGGAAATCCGTGCTTGGACATATATAAAGAGAACTCCACCAACAGCTCCTCGTCGGCAGATGTTATAAGCTGAGCTGGCCCGCTGCGACTCCCTGGTGTCACCCGTCCACTGACTCTGTCCCCCAGTGAAGATTTAGGGACTCCAAACTCCTTGGCAGCCTGTCTCACCGTACACCTTCCCGACTTCACCTCAATCAGTGCACGTTCCATGGCCTCCTCTGTCCATTTCTTCTTCTTCTTCCTTCCGATTTTGTCAAGATGATTTCTCGATGGCATTTTTTTTCCTAGGATGACACAGGAAATGCAGGAATGAATAACATATCAAACAAATATGATACACATAGAGAGGCTATGCTTTCCATCCTCCTTTGTCTACACTTCCACAGCACTCAGCTGTGTCTGACTTTGTTCCTGACTGGTTAAGGGGGATTACATCACTTCCTTATTCTGAGCCAAGTTTACAGGATCCTACCTGTGGTTGCTTACAAGAGTGTCCTGCATTCATGCACACTGCAGAGACGGATGCACATGGCTAAAGATGGGTTCCTAAAATATTAATTGAAGAGGAATTTTAATTAAACTTAAAGGACAATATGCCTCAGCTGATATCAAACATACATTTTTCATTAAGAGCCCAGGTAACTGACTTATGAGATGCTATCTAGTCAAACATGAATTTTATAAAGTATATGGAGTATATAAAGGCTTTATAAGCTCCTATTAATGGATGTTTTAGTTTATTTTACCGAACCTATAACACATATAACCTAATAGACTTTTTTATCGTCTTCACACTTTCCATATTTATCTAGTCGAGGTTTAGCTACTTGAATTTCTAGTCTGGACTTTGTTCGTTGTCCACTTTTCACAGATATAACAACAGTTTCATCTTCATGCTCTTCAAACGTTATCTTGTAACTTCAAGTGGCGGAACATGATCAGATCAGAGAGACGGTAGTTTCCCTTCAATTCATTCATAGACACTCAAATTATAATGTACCTTTACTTTCTGTCGCAGTCTAAACTCTGCTTATGCGGAAGAAAACCAGTTAAAAGAGGCCAACTGACTTACTGGTTTTGGGGAGTCGTCGTGCTAGTTTATAGTGGGGGACAGAAGACGTCGTGCTCCGCAACGTTACTGTTTGTAAACTACAACAGTGTGAAACCTGGTGGGGTTTGAGACAGGACTAGGCTTTAAAAACACACACCAAGTGGCAGTGTTTATTCTACAGTCGCCGCTACATGTCTGTCTGCTTACAGAAAGTTGAAATTATGCGGTAACAATTCACCAGAATGGGACATTTCCTTGCCTAGCACGAAGCAGCTAACTCAAGCCAACAGACAGCGGAACATAACCGGAAGTAAAGCGACGGGGCCTTCAAAATAAAAGTCTTGACGTTCCAGTTACAAAAGTAAGTGTCCAGAGATAAAACAGATAAAATCAGTAAATTGAATCAGTGTTCAAATGACGTGAAATTCTAGATGTAAAATAGATAGTATAATCAAGGAGCATCCAAACAAACAAACAAAAATGCAAACAGTTTTCATTAAAATATTATTGTATATCACTCCAAAATGGTGGCATTTCCCCCATTTTGTTGGTTTTAGATAATTTTGGTGGTCAATTTTATGTAAGACCATAATAGCTTATTATAAATAAAGTATTTGTGTACTTTTTCATGATTAATGAACACAGATTTTTTTAATTAATTGCCATTTCTGAAGACAGCGTGTCATGTGAGTGGCTATTCTTTCTAATAAATAGTACCAGTCATTTAATTAATAATGAAAATGTTCAGATACTTTACTTTCAGCATGGACCATGACCATACAAGTTATCCAGAGTTGCATCATTATCAAGATATTTTGCCACTGCAGGCATAACTGACTCCAGTCCAATTTTGTGTGCCTCTCATCTATTACCAACAATGGTAATAGATGGGGGGCACAAACTGGGAATAAATTGACTCATGCATGTAACTGGATCACATTCCTTGTTCAAGAAAAACAGCTCCACCCACTCACTTCAGTGCGGCGTGTTTGGTGATATTTAAATCGTTAATAAACATTGTGTTGACATTTAAAGCTCTATTTGTCAGCTTCGCTTCATCAATCACTGTCACTGGCCCTATATATTTTACCGCCCAGCTCCTGTGCTGGTGTCCTATATGTGTAATTTGTTGTGTTCATTCCCCAAAGCAGGTCAGAAAAATGTTTTGTGTAGGTTATAGATGAACCTCTCACTTACATGAAAGGCGAAACTGAGTCATATTCCGCAACTGTCATAACTCCTGACATCTTATCATCAACATCTCTTAAAAATTTTTACACTATTCAGTAAGAAAGTATATGTTTTACAAGTAACCTGTCGTAATATTGTACATTTAAACTGTCCCTTGCAAAAAATAAGTCTTTTAACATCTCAGTATGGAGCAAAGTATGGCTTTGCTTGAAACTTTGAGTTATAGTAGTTTAAAGTTGATAGAAATCTTTCCCTGGTTGAGAAAAAATAATTAGCAAGATTTATTTTTCCACTGCTTTGTTTTTTAAGGTTTCTTCTTTAAGGTTATAATTGCCAAGGTTATTTTCATGGTGTGTCTTTTATTCTTACTCTGTAGATTAATAGAATCTCCACTGAGCTCTCCTCTCAAAAACACACAGTTCATTCAGTCTGAAGGGTATGTATGTGCTGAATTTTAATTTTTTTTTTAATTAGAGCAAACTATGGACAATTATGTTGTTGAATGGTAATGTCATATATACATAGGCCATACATGTATATATATAAACATTGAAAGTTTATTGTTTTTTTTGTTCTGTGTTTTAGCAATTCAGCTTATCGGGCAAATGGTGAAGTTATTCCTCTTCAAAAAGATGCTCAGCCTGAGGGGTCAACAGTGGAGACCACAGATGGTACAAAGTCAGTATATGAGAGCATCTCTGTATTGACTTTAACTGCAAGTACATTTAAAAATGCTGAGTGTAGGGATTTTTGTTCATATGTCTTTTTTGCATAGTTGGGAATAAGTACCTCCCTCTGTTACAGGCCCCAAGTACTCCCAGAAGAAGTTATCCAAAATGATGAAGCACAACCAGAAAAATCTGTTGCCAACACATCTGCAGAAAACAAGGAAGATGCAGCAATTGACCAGACAAACGTAGAACACAATGAGAAGGCTACTGAGGTCTCTGCAGATATTCACGTAGAAGAACATATCCAAAATGGCGAGGCACAGCAAGTTTCTTCAGCAAAGGAAAATCCAGAGGCTGTGTCTCCTATGGAGTCAGCTGAGCAGCCAGTTGCCAACACAGCAGCAAAAAAAAAAGGAGAATGTGCTGATATAATAGTTGACCAGTCAAACACGGAACACATTGAGGTCAAGGTCTCTGCAGATGCTCATGTGGAAGATCCTGTTGCAGAAACATCTGCTACGGTTGGCACAGAGGAGAGTAAAGACGTCCCTGCTGCACCTTCGGAACCTTCAGACGAAACACAGTCAGCAAATGCAACACATTTGGAGGATGCAGGGGTAGAATCGACTGTCCAACCTGCAGAGGAGAGTTGTGGGAAATGTCCACTAAAACAGTCTGCAGAAGAAATAGCTGAAACCGTAGCTGAGGCTCAGGTGGAGTCATCCCCTGATAAGAGTGATGTGATTAATGCAACCCCAGGAGTTGAATCTGCTCTCCAAGACAATGTGGCACCAATCCCTGACTTAGTCGCAGAACCTGCATCTGAATCACCCTCTCAACCTGCTGCTGATCCAGCTGCTGCAGAGGGGAGTTGTGAGATAGGTCCTCCAGAACAGGCTGCAGAAGAAATTGCTGAAGCCGTAGCTGAGGCTCTGGTGGAGTCATCCCCTGACAAGATTGATGTGATTAATGCCCCATCAGGAGATGAGGCTGCTCTCCAAGACAATGTGGAACCAGTCCCTGACTTAGAGGCAGATATTGTATCCGAATTGCCTATTCAACCTACTGCTGAAACTACAGTCAAGTCTCTAAAGTGTAATGTCGACTCTGCAGCAGAGTCAGCTTTAGAGACCAGAGCTGAAGAGGTAGTTGAGTCTGAAATCCAGCTTGCTGACAACACTATCGTTAAACAAAGTGTTGCACCCGAGAGTGCAGCAGATCGTGTGGATGAGTTGAGCATCGAAGATGCAGTTGAACCTGTGACAGCTTTAGATGCTGAGGCTGTTCAGGATAAGTTAGTTTACAGAGCCATTGAACTGACAGAGGCATTAGATGTGGAGCCACCCACAGCTGAATCTGCTCCTGAACCCCTAAAAGATCAAGAGCAACCCCACACTGAGGAGACGAAACTGAACCAGTCTGATGATACCAACATGTAAGTACCCTGTTATAAAAAGGAATCACCTCACATTTACTGTTTTTCTTATAATATTCACATGTTTTCACTTATGCAATAAAGTGTTTCTTATTCTCTGCTGATGACTATTTTTGTAGCTCTGAAAAGTTTGAAAAGCCTGTGGAGGAGGAGCCACAATCCACACAAACTCTGAATGACACTAGGTAATGTCTCACTTTAAAGACAAAACCTTTAGAATTTCAAACATAATGTAAGTTATTCAAAGTAAGAACTTAAAGTAAGTAAGTAAACAGTGACACAACACATAGTGGCAAAGTTTATACACAAAGGTTACCAAGGGTGATAATCTTTTTAATACTTCATCTCTACTGCAGGTACAGCAGAAATATGTGTTCATTTTGTGACAAAATAATTGATGGGAATGTCAAGCTCACATTCAGTGAACCTCTGGTGAAGTACCATCCAGAGTGTCTGAAGGTTTGTTCTGTCTTTTTTCTTTTACTTGTTAGGAAACATATTGTATATCTGTCATTATATATTGAATGACTAATATTGTATGTGTCTTTGCAGTGTGGTGTGTGTGCTAAGGCCCTGGGAGATATGCTGACCCCCATGTTTTTGTATAACCAAGTGATCCAATGTGATGGCTGCTTTGCAAAAACTCTCTAGACCTGAAACCTAACTGGGACAATTGTCATCAGAGAAGACCCAAAGCATACTGTGATTAATGTGTAGTTTGGACTGAGTACCTCACCACTGTTGCCTTAACTCTGTATTCTGTCTTTTGAACCAATTTCTGAATGTATTTTAGGACATAGTGTATTGTCAGGATTATGTAATGAAAAGGTTTGGCAACATATTATTTATTGCCAAAGATGATTTAGGTCCCCCTACACTCAGAAATATGTTTTCCGTCTTGTTCATACAGTGGGATGTTTTAGCTTCAGTATGCAGGATGATGTATGTGCACAGTTTAGAAGGATGTTTTCACATTAATTTGCTGAAAGTGGAAAGTTTCTCTGTGCTCACAAAAAAGGGTCTATGAACATGATTTGTGACATCACAAATAGTTTGGAAGTCAACTGCGGTCCAGTTTGCAACTTATAAAAGTGTGATATAGAAATTTGAAGCCACCATTGCACACACATTTATAATGGATGCAGTGCAGTAGGAGACATATTGTGTCCACCAGGAAAACCTTAGAAATTAACAACATTTGCATATTCAGAGATTCTGGAATTTTTAATGAGTTAGAAAAAGGAGATGCCTTTTTAAAGATTTTAATATTTCAAAATTATGCTTTTCTTTTTTTTTTGCAGAAAAAAACATATCAGACACATTATTGTTTCAAGCAGACTATTTGTATATGTTGGAATACATGTCTGGAGGAGATTTTTAAATGAAGTACAAACAACATGAAATATGTTTATTGCCACATACTGTATATGGTTAAAATAAAACAAATTACTGCCTCAGATGTTAATGGTTTAATCAGCCTTAATTTCAAATGAGCACACACACTACACAACCCAGAAGCAGGGCTACACATCAAACTCGAGTCACCTGGAGGCATCAACACTTCAGTAACATAAAAACAGCTTATTTTAAGCAGTAACCAAAAAAAGGAGAGAAAAACTCCAGGGAAATGGATACAGGTCTTTGTTTCCCTCCTACACAATGACATTTAAACAAAGCAAAAATGCATTAAGAGTGAATGCAAAGTGCATGTGTTGTAAGTGAAAGCACAAAGCTTGCTGGGAGGACAGCCCTAACCCTTGCAGAGAACTTTGGTACATTCAGTTTGACTTGCTTTAGTTCACACGCTGCTGATACACAAGATGGTGATAATGAGGCAGCAGCAATATCATATTCAGAACCAATATATGCATCAGTAAACACTGAGCGGAGGGAATGCAGTTATGATTTGCGAGGTGAGCTGTCATTGCTCTTAATTATTCATGAAACGTCATACATCACAATCTGACAACAGCATCAGCACCAATGAAGCTTCACAAAAAGGATAAAATGAGGGATACAACCTGCAAGAGGAAAATGAACAACAAAGCTAAGAGAATCATCTGAAGGGAGGACATGAGGAAGAGACCAGAGCTCACTGCTGGGTGTGAATTAACTTCATCTCTCTGTCTGTTGTTCATAGAAAAAAGTGATGAGAAACATTTGTCTGTTATTAGAAATACTATAGCAGGTCATCCAGGTTTGGAAGTTTCTGGTTCCCAGAGGATGAATGGAAATCTAGTGCTGCATGTGTTGACTGTCCATCTGAGGACAGAGGATGGGGTTGACTGGGATGAAGGTGGTGAACTTAGCGGATCCCTTTCCTGCCCAGGAACCGCAAGACTGCGTAGTTGTAGGTTGCGGCAACCATGTACAGAAACTGCAAAGCAAGACATTATGATGGAGGTGGGAAAAATAGAAAGGGGAAAAAACTTATGGATTTTGATATATGTGCTGGGATAATTATAAACAGCATGGGCAAGCAAACTGTTAACATACATTTGGCCTACAAGGTTCACCCAATCGGAAATCCATTTCTGAGATTTCTGCTGCTACAAGCAAGATGACTGGAATGTTGTTGCACAACCGACTTTGATCCTGTTACTCCAGATAATCCAAATACTTTGCTGTGAACAGTGTTGACAGGCACTATTTCTTTTGCAGAAAGTAGTTACACTAAAAATTGTTCATAACAAGGCCTGGAAAGAGATATTTCAATGCTTTGAATACTACAACTAAATTTAATTCATCTCCATTGTACTGGGGGGCAGCAATAATCTTAGAGACAAGTATCTAAAGACCTGGCCAACTAAATAAAACCAAATCTACTATCTGCATGGCTAAATACAGATGGATATGTCTTTTATTTGGGTGAACTTTTCCTTTAAATGTGTTTTAACTGTTAGTATTTAAAAGGAGGAAGCAATTGCTCACCAGTGCTAAGAGAGTGATCCCGGCACCAGCAAATGCAGCTATGTACAAGTCATAGGTGACGTAGAACTGTAAGACAGATCAAACAGAGGTTAGTTGAATATACATTTAGAGAATCTGTGACATTACATTACATAAAAATGCTCACTTACACACCCCTCCATTAATAATTTAGAGTAGATTTTACATTGCTTCTGCATACTGATTTTAATGTGAGGATGCTGACATGAAATGTTAATAAAACCGTAAAATGGAATATGGGATTCATCTACTCACTTCGCTGGTTTTGCAAATAGATGCCAAGGTCATTCCACAAGCCTTGCCTGGCATTGCATTCCAAGGGAGCAGACCTTAAATGAAGACATGACGTAAGCATCTCTCACCATTGCTGAATCATGATGAGTTATGAAGCATTTAAGCAGCAGCACAGGGACACAGCAGTAAATAATTTCAGATAAAGGTGTAGTTATCCTCATTGTTTCATAACTAATGTAACATCCAGTTTTGCATCCACTCCCCAATGATTAATTCATTGCTTCCACAGACACATTAACATTCACCTCAGGTGGACATGCGGCCAGTCATTATAAGAGCAACGTACCATACTGCCTGGCGTCCATGCAAATCCAGCCATGCTGATTAATGCTGGGGGTTGTTTCAGCCAGAATGTTGATGTTGTGGCAGGTCTGCTCCATGTTGAACAAGAAGAAGACTGGGATAGCAGTGCAGGCAAACACTGCCAGCCAGATGAAGGCCAAGATGTACGTCACTATGATAAACTGTTGAAATAAAGAGTGCAGTATGTGAGGTCACAGAAACGTGGCGTAGGAGCTTAGGTTTCAGTGTGATAAATGTGGTGTCATTAAATCAGCCATCAACCATAATTCATGGTTCTGTGTAGAAATTGCAGAAACAAATAACATTTCATTGAGGTTAGGAGCTGAAACAAACCAGCATTCAGTATCTTAACAATAACCTGACGTCATATTTCCCCTCCCTCTTTAACCCCCCCTCCTCCCTGCTCTCACCGTCAGGCTGAGGCAGCGGCCACATTGGGTGCTCCTGAATTCACCAAAGGTCTGCTTGACAGCGCTCGTGGTGTAGAAACCCTCAGCCAGCAGCAGGATACCATAGAGGAAGAAAAATGACGCCAGGCCATAGATCACGTACTGGAAGTATTTTATACTAGGATAATCACATGGAGAAGTCAGGTCAAACAGCGTAATTAAACATTTTTTAGAGGTCAGAAATCACAATTAACAGAATGTATTGAAGTGTCACTCACAAGGAGGCCATGACAACAAAGTCCTGAACCTGGCGGGCGAAGTAAGTCTCGACCAGGACTTCGGTCTGCGTCAATGCTTCGTGCCCACAGCCACAAAATAATGCCATGCCAGCATAGCACAGCAAGGTGGCCACCAGGGATGGGTAGGGCACTGCCCCAATGCACCGGATACAGCAATCATAACAACCTGAGGGGGCATAATATATAAGCACACAGGCGGCACATACCGCACATATAAGCACACAACACATCTACGCCACGGTGGGGAACTCTTTTACCCTGCGGGGGAACTATGAAAAAGGCCTTGATCTGTCTGCAAATCCATGAGCATACACCAAAACCCCACCAACAGGCAAGAAAGCAACAGAAAAAAAAAAAATTAGACAGCAGTGACAAACAAGAGTTCAAGCAGCGATTCCCAATAAAGCGTCCAAACAAAAGCAGTCGACTTCACGACAATCTCATGCACTTCTTCCAGTGTAAGCAGCTTTGTTGAAGCAGGTAGCAAATATCCACAGTGTTAATAAATGCATTGGCAGAAATGGGATAGAGGAAAGCACCTAAGGCTTTGCAAAGCCAAGGCTGCCTGACCGGAAACATTTGCTGCTTCTGATCCTGTACTCCACAACAAGAAAGATCCCAATGCCAACCAGTAATGTACAGTGCTGCCTACAAGGTACTGGTACAGTAAAATAAGCCTCCCTGCGCTGATTTCATCCGTATGTGAAAGCTCCTCTGCTTCCACCAACACCTCACAGCTCAGCCCCTACTGACTCTGGTCCTGCCTTCTTTCTCCAGCGGTCACAGGCGTCACCAGGCGAGTGAGGGATGGTGGTAAAACACTGGCTTCAGGGGCCTGAAGAAAGAGCTTCTCTTTGTGGCTGCAGATACAATATCTATTGTCCTTGCCATGATTATGGAGGAACAAAGGGCAGCGATGTCAAACAAACAAAGACCATAGTGCCACAATACAAACACACATACACACACTGTAGTATGTGGTGGCAGAGGGGTCACCAGGACCGTCTCAACACCACTGCCAATGTCCCTACTCAGGTCATCCTCTATCCACAGCTGGCTCAGACTGGTACCATGGCACTGAGTGTCAATGTTGGCGGGGGCTGGGTTCAAGTGTTTAAAGAGTGGTCGGAAGCATAATGAACAAGTGGGGCAATTTGAATATCTTCACAACAACAACAACAACAACAACAACCCCACACAAAATTAGAGTTCTGGTGCTACACGTTGTGAAATCATTAGGTGCCTCAACTATCTCACTGTGAGAAAACTCTGATCATTTTACAAATTAGAAGACTTTAGTTGGAAATAAAAATGGCAGTGAGTTAAACAAACTGCCACAAAAGTATAAATAGTAACAGCAGGAAGGCTGCTAGAGTCCCATTAATGATAGTGCCTGCAGACGCCCACACTTCAGCTGTGCCCTTCTGCAACAGTGGTTACAGTGATAGAGTGATACAAACCATCATAGACTGCATTTGAATTCAGTGCAAAATGCATCAATGCATTTACAGTAGATACCAGATGATCAATCAGGACTCCAGAGCTGTTTAAAATTGTGTGAAAATCAGCCCACATGTTGTTTGTAAGTGAGAAAAAATGGATAGCAGAAGTTATTCGGGTCCACACTTCTCATGCAAATTAGCTCATTTATACCAGTGACACATGTGGGAGTATCTGACCTCTTTTACATGAGTGACCTGGCATGGCCTCGACATGATGGGAATCACTGCCCATCTTTGTCAGCCAGTCTGGTTCCAGTCTGGTTTATGGTTAAAAGGGGTTAAAGGAGGTAACGTGGAGTTTGTTGTTTATTGAAAAGTAAGTAATCCAGCCTGAGCCGTGTGCTGTTTTCTTTTCAGCCTTCTGAAATGATCACTGTTAAACTATATCGTATATATATATAAAGGGCCTAGTGTGAATAAATCCTAAATCAAAGATCCATAAATTAATACTTCTGATGAATGAAAACACAGGATTAATGCAGGAAAATCTTCCCCACAGTGCATGAAGGCAACATGATGTCTAAGGACACAAAGGACATATTAAAGGCAACATTAGTAAGTTATTGAAATCCACATTTTCAAATCACATTAATAATAGATGATAAGAAGTATTAAAAATTCTGTGCACTCACCCATGTCCAGAAAGAAGTGCAGGGGTTATTGAAGTTTTGCTGGGTGGCTTTGTGACTGATATGAGGATATGAGAAGTTATTCCCCGCCACTCCTATATGAATCTGACTCGCGCTTTTGTCTCATCAACAATAGATAGACCACATCTCCCCCGAGTCACATCTTAAAGTCACAAAGTCCCATTTCAGCTGCCAGTCATTATTTATAGAGCGATGGGTTCAAGACTGGGGACAGAGAGCGTCTCACAAATCCTGATATCAGTGTTTTTTCTTGGTATGTGGTAATATTTACTGTGTTTGAGCTGTTGGGACTTGAGTAATACTACTTGTGGCCTCCTTTGATTGCTCTTAAATATGTGGGCAATGCAGTAAGAATTTTTGCATGCCCACTTTATGCAGTATATCAGCCATAAAGGTTAAAGACTAAATCAGTTTATACTAATTTTTAAGGGCAAATTTAACATACTATGCAGACTGTGACAAAATGCAAATGAACTAACAACAATCCAGAGATATTTGCGTTTTCACCTCAGAGTTGGTAAATTATTATGCACGTTCATCTGTACGGTGCATTTCATTAACTTTCATTTATTCATCTGTCTGTTATGTGTGTCGTCTGTCTGCACACACACACACACACACACACACACACACACACACACATGCTGGATGTCAACGAAAAGCCCTGAGGGTCCTTAGGGGAGCATCTTCAGAAACACACAGAGATAAGAGGTGTGCACAGACAAAAGAGTGAAATAAATCCAAACGCCAGTGACTGACATCGATGAAGTTGACTAACAAGGGTGACATTGACGGTCGGGTCCAGCTGCTGCCCTCCTTCCCTCCCTCCCTCATGTTTGACCCAGTTGATGTCAAAGCTGGGTTCAGTACAAAGGAGCCAGTGTGGAGCAGGAGAAAACACCATGCTATCTTTTTTTTTGAGAAGCCCCTTATCCTATTTTGCGTTCTATTTTATGCCCATGACAAACTGGACAACTGAATGTTGGAAAAATACATTAATAATATCTGAATTACATTATATTGCATTATATTTAAATTATTTACATTGAAACTTAACGTTCTATCATCGGCTGAGGGAGCTACAGACAAACTGCTGTTTTACCAATATGGCCAGATAATCGTCCATACAATAATTGTCTGGTCCCCTAAATAATTAGAGGCGCTGATCTGTTGTGGAACATAAACTCACTCCTCTCCAGAAAAAAATAATATCCTTGTGGATTGGTAAATTGTTTGGTTTTACTTGTAGCCTTTTGTCTCTTAAAAACCCAGAGCCATAACAGATCAAGTAATTAGTATGTAGAAAGGATTAATGACATAGCTTTGTTAAGCTGAAATTGAGGAGCAGAGAGGAATGATGCCTTTGAAATCTTTGAGAAAACCATGAAAGGGAGTGAGAGAGAGAGAGAGAGAGAGAGAGAGAGAGAGAGAGAGAGAGAAGAGAAGAGAAGCATTAATTAACCTCTGCACTTTATGTGAGTGTGGAGAATGGTTGTCAGCTTTGCTTGGGAGATGTGAAGTAGCAATGATGTTGACAATCAAAGGATGGGATTAGGTAAGAAGACAAGTTTTAGAGGCTCGCTAGCTGGGGTGACATGAAGACAGCAAATGCATTCATTTATGAATAAACTATATCCCACCAAAGCTGATGCAGATGGTGATCACGGATGTGAGGAGCTCAGATGATGAATTATTGCATAACACTTAATAAGCCCGCCTAACAGTCATTAGTTAATGCATGAACTGATTTTGAACTGACATTACTCTCCAAGCTTTCAAGTAAGCCGCAAATGGTATTAGGATGCATATATCAGTATATATTTTGCATGCAATCAGAAAGAAAATGGCATCTATATCATGATCAGCACCATGGACAGCAGTGACTACAATGTGAGTGTACTATATATCAATGCTTTGTATGTGACTGTGTGATATGGCACAATGCTCTGTCTTTGAGTCATTTTTTAGAATTGTTTGCTGTGTGATGGATACACTCGCCAATGTTTACGCACTGAAAGTGGTAATGTGCATGTGTTTATACAGAGGAGGAGGGGGGCCCTGTAAAAATATTTGCACCACCTCCTATCCCTGTTATGGTAATGAGCTCTATGTTATCTTGTGACAAAACGAACAAACAGGCATCAAACAAACAAACAAGCACTTGGAGGACAAAAACGCATCAGGCTCAGTCAAAAGTGAACTGAATGTTGATGACCTCCTGTGGTGAGCGTCTAAATTATTTGTTTTACCGCATGATTAAGTAAAGGGAGGACTGGGCTATTCTCCAACAGGGTCTTTATTTGCTTGCATGTTTGATTGTCTTTCATAATAATCTCAGACTCTGCTGGCTGCTTGTTTGAAGCCTGGGCACTGTGTTCCAACATTTTTAAAGATTAACCCTGAAACTGCAGCAGCAGTAAGAGGGGCAAGTGAAACATTATGGACAGTTGCATAAAATGACTGTAGTGTTGCTGGAGGTAGTTAAACATAAAATTATAAGTGATGAGCAAGTATGATGGAGAAAATAAGTGAGGTTTGGATAGTCAAGTAATTCTCAACACACCATAAGTTAAAAAAAAGTGTACCTTCACATAGGTGGTGCATATCTAAGATGTCTGATAACCTTAAAGTGAGAATATGTAACTTTTGCTTAACAGCAGTCTCTGTGACCACAAGGGACACTTACATACAGCAATGATACATGGTATAACAGTAGCAAAACTCAGTCTCCAGTTACACAGAATTATCTTGGAAAAGCTTACATAAGCCACTGGTCACACTAGTCCAAGTAAGGCGGAAGTAGTTAGACTCTTAAGGTATGGAACTGAACATTTGTAAGAGGACAAATGTATAATATCTTTTTCAGAAGTTACATATTCTTGCTTTAACCCAGACCCTAAACTAAACCTGACTCACCTTGTTTTATGCATAAGGGCACCTCAGTGGTGGTTATGAGGGAGGGGCTTGCTGCTTTTTCACTTTCCCCACCCAGATTTATCCTGTCTGTTCCGACGGCCTTTCGGTCACAAGTTCGTTTTTCTAACCTTTAGGCCACCACTGCCCATTTACAATTATTCACCAAAATGTATTTAAAGAAATTACTATTAGTTTACATCTTTTAACACTTCAGAACCTTTTCATTGCTAGAACTGATTTGTCCGTAACAAATGAATGCTGTAATGGCCTGAATCTAGTTTTAAACTCTGTAAGCTTCAGCAGTGTGCCGATGGGCACATGCCACAGCAGACTGCAGGGGGAAAAACGGGTTGCACTATCCAACTCTGCAGGGGCTCCATAAGGGAGGACCACGGCATAAAATAAAGTTAAATAAATATATAAAAACTAGTCCCCATGGAGGAATACCAAGAATGAGAAAACAGATGACAATAAATGACAATAAAACAGTGATAATACTTAAATTAAATAAAACTGGGAGTAATGGTGATGGCTAGTTGAAGCATTTCACTCTGCTACAGAGTTAGCTACTTGATTAAATGAACAAAATCACTCAAATATATCCATTGTGAACTTGCCAATACTTGCTGAAGAAGTGCGTCTTGCCCAAAACGTTGTGGCAAAATTAGAAAAATTGAATGAAAGTGCTCCTAGATCTTCGCTCATTAAATTATTCCCAGGCCACACAGACCAGAAATTGAAAAGAAATTTACTTGTAGCCTATTTTATTTCATAAACTCTTTCAATAAAATTTTTACTGTACCTTAAGATTGTTAAAAGTGCAATTATGTAACCCTT